CGCGCGGTTGTCGATTTTTGTGGCGGCGTCTAAAAAAGAAACGCCTCCGACGATACTGTCGGCGCATATGTCTACTTATACCTATTTTATGGAATTTGTTTATTGTTTAAAGGTGGAAAAGGGGAATTTATCAGTGTCATCGGGGGGGGGGGAGCAATTTTTAAAATTTCTGTGTCATACTAACACAGCAATTCAATGATAATTTATTTTAAAATATTAGTTTAAATTAACAGGCACCTGTTCCAATAGGGCCTTAGCCCTATGTGATGGGTATTTCATGCTAATTGCTCAAATTAATTATATAGAAGTCAAAAGTCTGGACCAGACAACTTACTCACGATCGCGGTATAAGTAGTCATGCAGGCTCGGATCATTATAATAAAGGTCCAGTTCATGGCTCAATAAATAGTAATGTTATATTTCCTTCATATTCTTCCTTTCTTGCTTGATAGAATAAATATATGAAAAGTTTTTTTATAAATCAGAAGGTGGAAAATAATATTTCCTAATTTCATTTTAAGCTTTTTGCAATCTAGTTAACTTGATTAAGAGTTCACCTGTTTTAAGTACAGTTTGGCTAGAGGCCGAGCCACAGGTGGGGTCTACTCTAAATAAAAAAAATTACCACCAAGTTTTGGGTGGTCGCAGGCCAAAAAAAATCGTTGCAGGTCTCTAGTATAGAGCACGAATAAATGGAACTAACCTTTTTCCTCCCCCACATCGTTCTTATATTGCAACTTTTTTTAAGATCCGAACCGATTTTCCCGTTTAATTTACTAAAAAATTCAAAAATAACATGCTATAGCAATGTGCCAAAAGAAGTGGAATTCGAAGTCACTACTGCATGAGAAAAATTCTAATAAAAAAAATGAAATGACAATTATGTAGAAATATATAGATGTTTATTTTAAAATTAAAAATAGTCTCTGTGCACTTTTTTAATTTGAAGAGGAAAGATTTTTAAAAATGGTGTATAAAGAAAATATCATTTTATATTTTTTTTATATTTTTTTAATATTCAATTTTAAAGTTTTATATTAAAATAATATTTAACAATTTTATAAAATCATTGTACAATAAAAAAAATGGAGAAGTTATTTCATAATCTGCAAATGAAACATAATTTTATTTAAAAAAAATAAAATCACATTTAGATTATATTAATGTTAAAAGCGGGTGAACTTAAAATTTTAAAAAAATTTTATGATATTTCTGGTCAGGGTGTTATTATAAATATTAATAAATAATTAAATCAGATGTTACTTTTTAAATCATTGATTTAAATAAAAATTTTGAGATTCTATCATATTATTTTATATAATCAAAACTTAAATTTTGTAAAGCTTATTCAAATAATTTTTTGCTAATCTTAACGCTGTAATAAGAGATAATTGTTTAATATATCCATTTCATCTTTCTTATTTCAGTGTATATATTTGATTTGGATATGGTGTTAGTTTTAGTACTTTCTGAATTTATAATTTTATCAATGTTTACACCTTGAAGCGGAACTAATAATCGTATTGGATGGATATGCACTTTTATTATAATAATGGAACTTTTAAACATTTATCTTGATTTAAAATCAAAAAGTAAATCACGAATTTCATTTTTTATCTTTTCAATATTACCATTTGATTCCTTATTTTTATCTGCATAAGCATATGTTTTTTGAAATAAGTTCTTATAATTTATGATTACATTTTTTTATAAACAGATAGAAACTTCTTTCCTTTCACTAAACCTCATTAAAACAATTCTAAATAATATCCTTTTACGCCCATCTTATAAATAAAAAACATTTTCCTCATATGAATTCATTATAAAATTAATCAATCATACTCATAATATATAATAAAAAGGTTATATTTTATTCATAATCAACGGGTAGGTTAGGTAATAATTATGCTATAAAAAATTAAAATATTATATTTTAAAAAAAAATAAAAGTCTGATTTAAATACATCCTATGGGAGTTTAAAAAGAAAACCAGCGGGCAATAAAAATATAGTGTTTTTTATGAATTACTTAGAATTTTAATTTTTTTACATTCCCTCCCTTATATATTCGCGTGAAAAAGAGAAAATAAAAGATGGGAATAGTGTTACAATTATACACTTTTTATGAGTTTTTACCTTGTCGTGCTTTTTGAGTATCTTTTGAAAGACTGTATAATTGAGTTGTTGGTAATTCTGTAGCAACACCAGACAGAGGTAGTACTCCGAGAAGGCTAGCTTGAGGTCGTCCGCTTTCTTCATGTTTTTCCCGTTCCCACTTTCACCCGAGAGCGCAAGCCAACGGATCCAGCCCTGAGACGCACGGGCTGCCTCGGCGGTATGACGATTCTTGTCCAATGCGTAGAGGGAGGCGAACAATTTGTGAGCACCTTTAGTGTCCGGAGAAGATTCGGCAAAAACGCTTAGTTCAAATTTCAAGGAGGCCAGCTTGCGAGCAGCTTCTGCCAGCTTCTCTGATTTTTTAAATAATAAATAAATCAATAAGCTAGAAAATTGACCAAGATACAGGGAGGATACTAAGTTTGGCTTAAATGCTATATAAAAAATCAAAAACTGAAATTACCCGCAAAGAATGTATTAATCTTGGTAAGTTCGGACTCGCAAAAAATAAAAAATTCTTCATCAAAATTGATCTGGAAACGTTCTTGTTCGGCATGGCTAAAACCTAGGTTAATTTTTTTGTAAAGAAAAAATTAAGTCGGAAAAAAATTTAACATATCAATGTTTTATGTTAAATAATATTTATTTAAGTAGAGAATTTGTTAGTTTTCTTTCTTTTCATTTCACTCTCTTCTTCATTCTATAAATTCTTTCGTTTTCTCACATATTTATATTGCCATTGCATAAATTTTCTTTCTAAATCATAAAGAAGGGGGGGGGGGTTAAGAGCACCTTAACTTCGTCTTAATTTTAAATCTTCTAGAAGCTTTAGACTAACCCGTTTTGTTATTTTTAAAATATTTTCGTTTCTACCTAATTTAATTCTTGTTTTATCATTTTATTGAATATAAAAATATTTTATGTTAATATTAATTTTATGAATAATACAGCTATTTATTATTTAAAAATAAAATGCTTTTTTAACAAACTTTTCGTTGTAATAGTATATTGTAAAATAAAAATGAACTAAAAAAAATAAATTACCCCTTCTGAAAAGTAATATGAAATAAAATATACACAAAAATTTAATAATAAATTATAAAGATTGAATAAGGCAAAATTAAATATTAATAAAAAACCGGCCCGGTCACGGTCTATGACCAATAGGGCTGGAGCGTTTACTTTCACTAAGATGTATTTTGTTTTTTTATTCCTCAAAAGCTAATCAACTCATTTAAAATATGGACAATGCTTATAGCTGATATGTGACTCTTAAATTTTTAAATCCCATTCTTTTGCAAAGCATTTTTAACTATTTTCTTTTAAAGTAATTCAATTTTTTACAAACATTACAATTACAAATAAATGAAATGTGGTTTCTTATTTTTTATTATTATAAAATTATGTATGAAATCAAAAAAAAATAGGGCTGTGTCGATATTAAATATCGGAACTTATATTTAACGTTCTTAAAGCATGTTTTTTGTTATTTTAAAGATTTTTTATTTATTTATATAAATTATAACTCGCCCATTTTACTAGCTAATATAAGCAATGATCTTTCATTTATTATTATAAAATTTTTTAAAATTGCATCTGAATTATGAAAATTTTATACAATAAATATTAGATAATTTTTCAGGGAACGTAAAGAGTCCTCCATATTGTAGAATTTTATAAAGAAAATCTAAAGGCTCTTATTTTATTAAATCAATAAGTTATAATATATATTAAATATAACTATTTTGATATTTATACCAACATATATATACTGTTTAAAATAAAATGCGTAGAATTACATATATATTTTTAATATATAATATATATAAAAGCCTTGTCACGCGGTGACAGTCACACTTTCACAATTTATAATATATAATTAAAAAATCGTTAATTTTAAAAAGTGTCTATGGCCCAATCGGTAAGAGCGTCGTTTACAAATCTAATGGACTTGGGTTCGAGTAAAAAAAATTTCCTTAATTATGTAAAATATTTTTTTTCTTCTTAACTTGCTTAATTAATCAAATAGATACGATTCAAAGTTTGTAGCTACTTTAAGATTTAAACTATTAAATAGGTATCCTTATTTTTTTTAAAATTTTTAATTTTCTTTTAAAAAATATGAGTACAATAAAAATAACCATAGAATCATATCTTAGCAATCCTTCATTCATCTTTCATTATCATAAATCCATTACTATCTTATACATCATCATATATATACATATATATACTAGAACTAACTGATATATCTATAATATATATAAAAGCCGTCAAACTCTCAGTGTCAGTCACATCACAAAAATCGTGAATTTTGAAAAGTGTCTATGGCCTAATCGGTAAGAGTGTCGATTACTATCTGATAGACTTAGGTTCGAACCTCAACAATGATTATTAATCCAACAAGGGCTCAAATCCTTGAAAAAATTAAATTGCCCTTCAATATTTTTAATTTTTTTATACCCCCCAAAATAAGTTAGTTTTTTAAAAAAATGAAAGTAATTTAGGAAATTTTTAATAAAGTTGATATCAAGAGCACTTCGATGTAAATGCCATAATTTGTGAAATAATAATAAATAAAATAATAACATTATTTGCTAATATTTCTCACTATTTTGATGATAAGGCGGATTAACTATTATCTCGAATACTGTATATGACACTTTCAGATAAAAAGTGTTATACCGATAAAAAAAAAATAATAATTATAATTATGATCTATACCAATCGAAAAAAACTATGATTAATATATTATAAAAGAGTTTTATATCAAAAACAACAAAGAAAATATTACATTTCTGCCATCATCATGCAAAATCTCCAGCCTTAGATAATATTTATTTTTGATCTTGATTCAGCCGTTTTTAAAAATCATATAAAGGTTTTTCGATTACCTTCCTGTCACTTATCACTAGTTCACTCGTGACCACTTATTCATTTTACTTTAGAGTGCCCAATATATCATGTGAACATTTGGATGGCAGGCATCATATATGAATCCACCAACAGTGACACACTATACCAATATGGCTCGAATGTTAAGCTGCTTAAGGTTAATAATTCTGTAAAAGAGCTTCATACCATTATAAGAGACAAGTATATAAAATTATTATTATTATACCAAGAAATTTTTAGAGCTACACCTAGAAGTGATTTTGTGTTTTATGCTGATAGATTGGTAATATTGTAGAATTCTGAAATATGCTATGTTTATTTTAGATTCGCATTGTTGTTGAAGAAGGTTTAAATCATCTTCCATACTATCCTCTTACAATAACGACACCAACAGGTTTTCATTTATTAGGATTGATAGTTAATTAATTTTTTTGTAGGTTATCAATATCATGGCCTGCAATATCAAAAAGGTAGTTGTGGTGTTAGTATAATGAGAAGTGGTACAGGAATGTTTAGATAATAATGATATATATTAATTTTAAGGGGAAGCAATGGAAAAAGGTCTTAGAGATTGTTGTCAGTCAATGAGAATTGGAAAAATCTTGATACAGAAAGATGATAAAACCAATGAAGCCAGAGTTTTATTTGCTAGATTGCCTGAAGATATACAAAATAGAAAAGTGCTTCTTATGTACCCAATTATAAGTAAATTACATTATTTAGAAAAAAACTGCAGACACAATAAATTGTTATTTAACCCTGAAATTTAATTAGGTGTGGAGTTATCACCTATTAAAATTTACAACTAAACAATTTAAATGATAATCATTATAACTATAAATAAATAAATTTCTAACTTCTTTTTTCAGAATATCTTATAAAATTATATTTGTATAAAAAATGACAAAAATAATTTCATTTATTGATTTTATTAATATATAATTAGTGAGTTGTTTAGTTCAAATTGCTTTGTTGCAAGATTACATTAATTTATCTTCAAGCGATATTTGATAAAACATCTATAAATTGTTTGATATCTTTGCTAAAGTTTGTCTTTATTGCTATAAATTAAAAAAAATTGGATACTTTTACAGGACATTTTAAAATAGGCATATTTTTTAATATTTACAACATGATCCAACTGAATATCTATGAATATTTGCCAGAGTCTATTATGCTACTTTTTTGTAACAATTGTGAATATCTTAAAAATAATGATAGTGGTGATGCAGGAATAGCTATATAGCATGCCTTTAAATTTTATGTAATAAATCTAAACAACAGAAATGCTAAAATTTATTTCAGCAATAGATTAATTGGTATTTATTTCTTAGATATACCAATATGTTCTTTTTAAAATTAAATATAATCTAATAAAACGATAAAAAGAGATGTCTTTTAGTTTTAATAATTTTATAGTCTTAATTTATTTTCTTGTATGTATGTTCTTCATAATGGTTTTATGATGGTTATTATTTACTTTTAAGGCTCTTTCTTATCTCTTTAGATTTTTATAGATTTTAGATATTATGTCATTAGTTTTGGGTAAAATTGAAATTTTTAAACAATCTGATAGATTTATTATTTCAAAATATTATAATATATACATTCTTTTCAAATCATGTTATAATACATATAAGTAATAAAAAAACTTTAAAAACAAACAATTATATATATATAGAAAGATTAAAATTAATTTTTATATTTCAAAATCTGCATTATTAATCTAGTTTATCAAGGTAATTTAAAAAATGGAAGAGGGTAAGTAAGTTGATAATGGCAAAATTTCGCCAAAAAATCATTATCTTGACCTAAAAACAAAAGATTTTGTTAAATTTGATGATTTTAAAAGAGTTTTTTTCGGTTCCATGTCACTTCTGCGAAACTTTATTCGCAAGTGTATTTTAATAGCTAAACTTTTATCCCAAATATTATTCCGCTAAGACAATGTCGCGAAACACAAGTATGTCAATATTTTTAATAGCGACGCCCCATATAGGGAACCCTTTAGAGCGAATAAATTACGGAGAATCTTTTAACCGCCAAAATTATATAGCGAAAACTATTTAGCCAAACATATCTCGAAATCAATATCACCATTATATTACTTTTATTTTGAAACACTTATTTTATAAGACCATATAAATTAACTAATATTATTTATAAAAAATATATATTGAAAAAATCGATTCAAATGATAGTTTTTAATTATTTTTTTCTTTTAACCTTAATAAATTTTCTATAACGATACACATAAAAATTAGAGGTTTGCAAAGCCTGAACCGGCAAAAAATTTTGCTCAGGTTGCCCTGCTCGTCCGTTAAATTTTTTATTTAGCCCGGCCAGTTAAAATTTTACCAAGAGTCCGCACCACCAAAATTTCCCTTTTATACGAAATTTCCTTTCTCCCAATGTTAATTGAGGCTCATGTATATCCTTTACGATGGCTACCTATTTTTTTTAGTAGTTTTACAACAATTTTATGAATTATTCGTGTTTGACATAACTGTGTTCTGCATTTGTTATTGATCGTATTATAAATAACTATTGTTAATACTATATTGTTTATTGAGTTAGTATTTTGCGTCGCTTAAAAATACAATGAAATTATCGTAATTTATTTCCAAAGACTTATTGGCTTAAAATTCACAAAAAAATTATATCATTTTTAATAACGATTATAAAAAAAAATTAAACATTCGACCATTTAAAACGCATCATTCGCTTTTACAAGGCTGCGTTGCGACTCTCAATTTGTTCGCGTTAAGTCCCTACCACTGCTTCGCCATATCACAACTCCTCGACTAAATAAATGAATAATACCTTATTAGAAACATCTAATTTCATAGGCCGTCAAATTTTAAATATGATGACGTTTCCCCAAATATCCATTATGTTTCTCCACCCCCTCATTGGCCTTTGCCTACGCTTTAATCTCCTGATACGGTTACCCGCTCCGCCCACTTTCATAATTACTGTTTTCCTTCCTCATTTTTATTCGACTGTATTCTTAAATTCCAATCGTATCAATAATATTATCAGCACAGGTGCTAGGTCTAACCATGTCGATAGTCTGTCCTTGGTTTGGACTGTCTACATAATTTTTTTATGCCGAAGATAAGTTACCTCAAAGCCCCCATAATAAGAGTCGATAAATGCTGCTTTCGGTCCACAGGAGGAGGACCCGTTTGATTCGTTCCTTTTTACGAATCTCTCCCTAAAAAAATATTTAGGCAATAAAGTTCTGTAGACCATTAAACCTTTCAAGTAACATACCGCGAATTTCATTCAACTCCGTTGGTTATCAGAATTTAAAATATTTTTAGACATCGAATTCATCCATCGTCTGCACAAATGATCGGGTTTCAATTATCCCCAATTATTGTCAATAAATCACAAAATAATACTTCAAAAATTTTAGAATATTTTATTATCGTTTCGACATCATTACCATATTCGATTTTTCTTTCGATAAATATATATATAATTCCATGATACCTCAACAAGAAAGCAAATCTTTCGCCAGAATAAACGAACTTGTTTTCTCTCAAAAACGGTCAAACTCAATATTTTATCCAAAAAAATATTTTCGCAAGGCTGAAGATTTTCCTCATAGATGGCACACAAAGGTACGGGCATCTATTAGCGAAATCTCGAGGCTTAATTAGCTCATTGCGGCTTTTTGCCACTCAATCCAAACAATTTGATCATTCTTTCCAAGCCGTGATCCTTGCAACACACAAATGAATTGTGATCACCTATCATATCAGTCTTCTACTAGTTTTGCTAGCGGGCGGACAATTACGCCACTTTCCCCCCAACGGCATAGACTATCATCACAGGAATGTTCTTCATCTAAACCAAAAGTGAATGGTTCGCCATAGTAGACCTTATTAAGTTTTTTTTTACCTTTCAAGTCAATAATCGCTATCTAGTAGCACAACTACAGATTTACAGCATTATCTTTCAACATTTCTGTATTTTAACATTCTTAATTTTGTTCTTTTTTTAAAAAAAAATATATTACTTTTATATAACTTCGAATTGTAAACGTTATCAATTAATTTATATAATTTATAAATCACGTGATAAATTAAACAGCATATCTTCTATTCTTCTCTCTCTTTCATATATTAAAAAAAAGCATTCAACCTTGAATTCATAAATTTATTACACATGTATTATTTTAGCCTTCTATTCTAAAATTTAAAAAATAAATCGGCCGCAAAGAAGATTTTTTAATGTAAAAAATGACCGAAATATAATTCTAAAAACATTTTAAAACTTCTGAAAGTTTTAAAACTTTTCGAATTTGTTGTAAAACAAATTTTGGACACCGTCTTTAATGCGGCAAAATTTTCAAGCATCTCAGAATAATTGTTAAAATTTACTTTTTTATGTTAGGTGGATGGGGGGGGGGGGGGGTTCCACCTCTAAATAGCGAGCATCATAATAGCGAGGTATTAAATGAATGATAGTCTAAAAAAGGCTAACATATAATATACAAATAATTAAAATGTAAATAATTTTATAAATTATAAATATATAAATCATTTTATTATAATATTATTATTATATAATTATAATAACTACTAAGTTTTGTTCTAAAGAATGTTGATTGGTAGTAGAGGCTAATGTTAAAACATTGATTAAATGGTAAAATAATATAAAAATAATTACCTTGGTTAGCATTAGGAGTTATGGCTGCTACCAAGTTTTGAAATTCTAAAGAATGTTGGATGGTGATAATTAAATCGAGACCAATCATTAATTTGGCTCTTACACCACATCTTTTGCGACAAGTAAGGTAAACGGCCTTTTTACCACTTGTATGGGCCAAATATTCATGCCCTTGGTAGCATATAAAGTCCTTTTTCTTCTGTGTTTGCTGAAAACAAAAATAATAAATATATAAAATGGTTTATTACTTCTATTTCAAGTTGTTTATATTTAAGATAATTTTTAAGGTTATCAGCTACAGTTGGAATCATATCAATAATATGGCGGCCATTTTTGTGAACATTATTGTGAATATTCACATTTTTCGCTATATTGATGCTCGCTATTTAGGTCTCTTACCGTTTTAACATTAGCCTCTACTACCAATCAACATTCTTTAGAACAAAACTTAGTAGTTTCCATAGCTCCTGATCCTAACCAAGGTAATTATTTTTATATTATTTTACCATTAAATCAAATGTTTTAACATTAGCCTTTACTTCTTTGTTTGCTGAAAACAAAAATAATAAATATATAAAATGGTTTATTACTTTTATTTCAAGTTGATATAAGATAATTTTTAAGGTTATCAGCTACAGTTGGAATCATATCAAAAATATGGCGGACATTTTTGTGAAAATTATTGTGAATATTCACATTTTTCGCTATATTGATGCTCGCTATTTAGGTCTTACCATTGGGGTTAAAATATGAACCCGAATGATCATCTGTTTACTAAATATCGAGGCATAGGTAATTATTATTTTGGCTAAAATCTTGATTTGGCATTTTTTTTAAATCCATCATCGATGCCTTTAAAATTAATTTTGAAGAATAAAAAAAAATACTGGAAACTGGGCCTAATCGGCGCAATTTATGTTAAAATTATCATAGCCCTGAAAATCACGATCACACTTAGACACTGTTATGTTTTTTTAAAAATATTTTATAATAAGGTTTAGTAAAAAGTGATTTTTTTTTTAATCTAGTAGCCCCAAACCCGTGGTTAGTTGGATCATCGATGGGGTTAGTCGAATCAAGTGGTTTATTAGGCTTCCTAATGAGACAGACAAAAAAAAATTATCTTATAGATTTTTATATGTTTTATTTATATAATATTCTATTTACAATATTTTTTTTTGGCAGAGAACCCGTTCGCCCAACCTTTTATATACTTTGCATTTAAAGCGTTATAATGCAAACATCTTTTTTTAAATATTTTGACAATGTGTTTTTTTTTGCTGTTTAATAGAAGCTGCTTCATAGCTAGCTATATTTCTTAAAATATCTTTTTAACAGATAAACCATAGAGAGTTTTACTTCCTGAAATTAAGATATTAACCATTCAGTGGCGTAGCTACGGGGGTGGTTTTCGGGTTTGGACCCCTCCCAGAGCAAATTTTTTTTTAGATTATACGTTCAAAAGACTTAAAAGTGACTTTATATCAAATAAATACCATTAATATTTATATTTTTCTGGTTTTGATGTTTGTGGAAGGATATTATATTACTATTGAAATTATTCTGGGTAGTATTATTATAAAGAATAACATATTATTCCTGCATTTAAAAATATATTTATTATATATTGTCGAAGATGTGGTTATGATTAATTTTTATATGTATGGACCCCCTCTAAGAAAAATTCCTAGCTACGTTACTGTAACCATTTTATTTTCCTCCTCGTCAAATATTTTTTGTTTATTATCCTGACCTATCTTGGGCATAGTGCCAGCCATTTTATATTTTTTTTATAATGTTATTAAAAAAATTTTAAATAATAAATTCACTCAAAATTTATCTAATTCTTATATTTAAATATAACAACATTAATTGGACCTTATTATCAGGCCAAAATAAATATCCTGATAACTAAAATGTTCATATCTATTTAAAATGTAATTATTTGAATCATATATTGTCAATTACAAGGATATACACGAAAAACTTTGTTTGCTAAATATAATTCATTTTAAATAATTGATCTTATTATCAGGCTAATATTTATATATGATAAATAAAATGTAATATAATTATAATTTGAATTTAATCAAATAATATGTCAATCACAATAATATATATATGAAGATTTTAGTTCGCATTTATTTAGGCCTTGATATTATATTAAAATTGAAATGTATTATGAAAAATTTACATAGATTAAATTTATATAATAATTATCATTTTATATATTAAATTTACAAAATATTATATTTTAACTTGTAATAGATAGATGTTACTTTTCTTGATGATACATCATTTTCATACAATTTTATTGCTTCTTCATAATCCTTTATGGTGAAAAAATTTTCTATTTGGAATTTTTTAATTATTTGAGGTACCATAATAATATTATAAATATTGATTGATCGAGCCCACAAACCACTATTCTACTAACCCCATTGGTGGTAGTATTACTAATATGATCTTAACATAAATTTAATATGCCTTACATATCAATCTGAAACTTTCCTAAATATTAAAATAGTAACTTTCATATATTGTCCGTTTTGTCATGTTTAAACTTTCAATTTTTTTTACATACAACATTAAAAACGTAGAATGGAAATGTTGTAATTTTCACGCCAAAAAACATGTCATATAATAAAAATTTTAAACAGCTAAATTATATAAATTATTTTCTTTTCCAAATATGGATAGGATATCTTAGAATTTCTATAAACAAAATTTTTACTTTATAATCGTTACTGGTGTTTTAAAATAAAATCTGCTGAACCGAAAAACCCTGATCTCCCCTACACCTAATCTTTCGTAAAAGTTAGTTGATTTAAAAAAATAAATATAAATATTCTTTTATGAATCAATATAAATATCGGATATCGGATCGGGTTTTAATAAATAATATCTGAAAATATCGGATCGGTAAAAATAATTTGTAGATAGGTACAACCTTAATTGACAAAATAAAATACCCCACCTTTGCCCAGAAGTGTTAGCGTTGAGCAATTATTTATTAAAACAAAGCTCATACTTTCTGATGGCCACTCTAGACATCGGGATAATAATATAAAGATGACATTATTAAAATATAACAAAAAATTTATATTTCGTTACATTTTTTTATATCTGTAACAATTATTAATGTTTTTTTTATGAAAGTAGCTAAATACGTTGCTTTTCTAAAAAAAATAGCTGTTTTGCCAAGTATCTCACTTCTTTCAAGAATAACGTGTAACAATACCAATATTTACCATATGCAATTCAGGTTTACTAAGGTTAAGTTTTTCAGGGTTAAATTTTAGAAAAGTATTATCATAATACCTCTAAAATATATGTTCAATCTTAATAGTTTATTATATTATAGTTTTTATGATTGGAATATTATCACAGCTTAAATTATACAACTTTATTCGATTCAATGATAAAGCGCTGAGTTTAATATTAAGAAAAAAATTGATTTTTTAAAATAAAATATCGAACTAAACAATATACTGTTTATTTTATAAATGAGCAAAATTTGTCTTTATAAGTAGTGCATTGTTAAAAGGCTCGTTTTGAGCCGTTTTATATTGAAATCAATGATCTATTGGATAATTGAATTTGACTGATTCTGTTTTTATAATAAAGTTTTTGTTCAATATAAAGAAATATCCTCTCTTCATTTAGGGATTTGTTGGGGCCCAAGGTTATTTGCATATAATTTTTACATTAAGAATACGAATATATCATATTCATTGATATTTTTTTCCCCCACTATTTTATTTTAAATTCATCATCTCCCCCCCCCTTCTCTCTCACCTAAACGGTAATCTTGAACTTGTTATTTCCGATTTTTTTTAAAAAAATTATCCAATCATTTTTTTTAATATCTTATTTTAATTTAAAACATAAACATTTACATATACACTATTGAATTAAAAATATATTTTAAAAATTAAATATAAAAAAAATATGTGTATAATTTGACGAAGAAAAAGGAAATTTTTATTAAATGTTTGGAATTTGCTATCCGCGTAAAGTTGGTATGTTGGTCATCCAACAAAATAATTCGACATTTTTAAATTAATTTTCGTTTTTAAAGTAATGAGACAAAATTTTACTTTTTTTTAAATTTGCATTTAGATAAAAAAAACGATATAATTTGATTCGATTTGAAAATTAAATTTTATAAAAATTTTCCAAGAATGGGGGAAAAATGGATTATATTAAAAATTTTAAAAAATGAATTATAGAACGTGAAAATAAAATTTAAAAAGATTATATAAAGTTTAACAAGGAGAATAGATTAAATATTTACGAATAATTCGATCAAATAAATATATTGACAAATAATAGATTTTCTTTATTCGGTTCGAATAATTTTGTTATTAATAATCATGAATTACGGATCAAATCAAATTTAGGTATGCATCTTAGATATTAAGCAATTTTAAATTTGCTTCGCTAATTTGTATTTTCCTCGTGTAAAATTATTACGAGGGTTTTGTCACTGATAATTATATTATTATTTTAAATATTTTTTTAAGGCAGTGGAAGCAAAGTAATTCAAGCTATACAGACACTCAAAGAAAATAATGTGGTTGAAAATAATATAATCGTTTTGAATTTATTTTGCACACCTACTAGTTAAGTTAACTCCCATTATTTTTGATATATATGATATATAATAATGAATAAACATTTTTTTATTTTACTATAATAATTCCTCAAAAGTAACACATTCTATTTAATACAAAAATGTAAAAATTAACAGGCTTAAAGATGATAGCACAAGAATTTCCTGGTTTATTACTTCTCACATCTGAAATACACCCAGTAGCTCCTACACACTTTGGCAAAAAGTATTATGGAACTGACTGAAATATCATTCAAACCTAATTTAAAAGATGCAAAATATAAATATATTAACGCCCATATGTATGCAGGAAATTTTTAAACATTTGTAATATAATACGAATTTGGCATCCGTTTTCATTCCACTATACGATTATAACAAAAATTGCAATATTTACAAAATTTTATACAAATTTATTTTTTATTTATAAAAAATATTATAAATCGGGACTTGTTAAAGAGTCTATATCACGCGAGAATTAAAGAATAAATTATTATTGAATTTTTTCTAAAGTTTATAAAATAGGGAAACACTTTTCAAAAAAAAAATTTATTAATAGATGTGAATGTGATATTTTTTTAAAATGCCACTGGAGAATCTACTAAACTAATTGCCATGAGCCTATCAAAATTTACATTAAATAGCTAAAAATTTTCTAACGATACTAAACGTTGTCAGTAAAGCTTTCGCTGGACCTAAACACTTTCAACTGGTGCCGAGGGTGGGAAACTCATATTTTATTTAAAAATAGAAAATTTATTAAAAATATTTAAAGATGCATCCTTAAAAAAAAAATCTTATTTAGATTAGTGTTGTTAAAAAAGTCCGATTAAAATTTTAGTAAAAATAATGTGTAAGCCTCAAGATCTGGCAAGTAGAAGTCCAAACTTTTCTGTCATCTATGAACAAAATTGCCAGGCTTACACAATATTTTATTTTAGGGCTGTGCCGATCCACATATTTTTCACCGATCCGATCCGATATTGCTTCAAAACCGATACGATATTTTTACTGATTTTTAATCACCTTCGTTTGAACCAAATGTAATTAAGAAATCAATATTTTTTATGCAAAAAATCGAATTATGAATTTAATTTAATTTTTTTATTTTTACAAATAAGACTATAATAAAAAATATATATATTTAATAATATATCCATTTTATGTTGGAATTATAAAATTATAATAATAAAATTGTAATATTTAATATATAAAATTGTAATATTTAATATATAAAATTATAATATATTAGATTTTTTAATAAATATGAGAGCCTCTAGATTTTCTGGGAATAAGCTTCTACGATATGGACTATCTATATCTCCTGCCATACTGAAGGCAGACTTAGATGATTCCGCAGATAACGCATTTTGCAAAATTATCTTTGTAAAATATTTCCATAATTCAGATACCATATTTTAAAAAAATTCTTTTATTTAAAGTATAAATAAAAAAATTGGCTTTATTTAAAAAGATTTAAAATAAATAAAACTTTGGGTGTTCCTTTCTATTTTTATAAAAAAAAAACTTTTAAAATACTCTAAATCTATTATAAAAAAGAAAAAAATTTAAAAAAATTATTTAGAAAATATTATAATGTAAAATAAATATACATAACATAAAATATCAACAAAAAAGGAAAAGTAATAAGATCGAATCGGGTTTTTACACGTATCGGCCCGATCCGATATTTTTGGAAAACGTGAAATATTGGTACCGATCCGATATCAACGCGAAATATCAGTACCGATCCGATATCTAATATCGGCACAGCCCTAAATTTTGGTTAAAAATTGATCAGAATCGGGCCTTTTGACAACACTAATTTTAGATCATTTTAAAATCTTCATTCAGATGAAATTTTTTTATCTTTATCAGAATCTAATCTGAATTCGTTTTCTTTTACTTTCAGATTTTTTTAAAATATTTGAACTGCTGTAGGGCACATTACAATGTGTAGGATTTAGCGCCCTTAATTTCCTTTATTTATGTTTAAAAAAAATTTATATACTGGGGCAGGGCAGAAGTTAAATCATCATCATGCGAAGAAATAATTATTGTTGGACATTAATTCTTTATAAAATAAATTATAATATTATAGAGAATATAAATTAACATACTTTCGATTCACTCTATATTAATATTTAGATTAACAATTTTGACTATAAGTATTATGGTAATAAATAAAATAATACGATATAAATTAAAATTTTCGGCCTAAATGATTTTTTAAAAAATATCCATTATACATAATAAAAGTTGTTACTGTCGTGATGACGTTTGGTTGAAGAAATAATGTGATGTCAATTATTATAATATATAGTATATGTATATGTGAATCTTATTCATCAAATAAAAGATAATCTTTAATAGAAATACTTAATCAAATACAAGATAATCTTTACAGTTACATTTTGTGGAAAAGTGTAACAATACCAGCAGTTGGAATCGAAGCCATTAAATACATATCGCGAGTTCTTATGAAATTATATAGTATATGGTTAGCGTTTGTGTTATTTTTTCAACTTTAAATCATTTTTTTGAGAGCGTTTTTTTTAAAATTTAAAAATGATTTTACCGGAAATATAATCTTTCACAGTTAGAATAGCAATCTTATGAATTGCACACCATTTTGCTGTTAATCATTGAGTCATTTATGATTTATATAAAAAAATATAAATTTTATTTTTATAAATTTATAGAATAGAATAGATATTACCAAACATAACATAATACATTTGCGGTAAAATCAGATTTTAAAATTTATAAAAACGCGCTCAAAAATGAATTTAAAGTTGAAAAATAACACATTGTCGCTACATTTTTGAAATCTATTTTTCTAGAATTGATTATTTTCCAAACAGAATAATATTCAAATATTTAAAAAAAATAACCATTCCAGTTAGGGATTTCAGACGCCATTTAATCGCTGATAAACCCGGAAACATGTCACAAAAATCCGTCTTGAAAAAACGTTATAACATTTCGATAACTGAATTATTTTCTATCTCAACTGATAAATTTACTAACGTATATTACAAGGAGTAGTGTTGATTCGGGTCTAATTTAAAAAAAAAAACGGCCCAATCAAGATTATAACCAAAATAACATTTATGTAGTAAGCCTAAAGATTTTGTTCATTGCTGACAGAAATGCTTGGAACATCTATTTGCCAAATCTCGTTACTTACCTAATATTATTTTAGCTAAAATCTTAATCGGGCCACTTTGAAAAATCGACCCCAAATCAGGCTTTTTAACAACACTAATGGGGAGAATGCATTTTTTTAAAAAAAAAATTTTTAATGAAAAAATAATAAATTAATTGACAAAATTTATTACGATTTTAATTGTAAAAAAAAATAATAAAATAATTTTTTTTAAAGGAAAAAGACCAAATTTATATAAAAATAGATACCGGACATATTTTTAGACATATCAAAAAAAAAAGGAACGCCTGGTATCCCTATCTTCATAAAACACTAATCATGTTCAGATAACAAAATAAATAAAGTAAACAAATATGGCCGATGTATATCCTTATTTAAAAAATTGAGGTAATCAAATTTCTAAATTATCATACTCAAAGAGAATGTGCTAAAAAGTAACATTGATGATTCTAAAGGAACTGTTCACAATATTCGTGAATCCAAAAGATGCATGCAAATAAAAAACATATTGTACCCAAATAAACATAATATTTCATAAATTAATTATATATTTTTTTTAAAAAATTCTTCTGTATACAATTACAGAATGTATAAAATTTTTATACATTCTTATTTTGTATAATTTATGCATACATACATAATTTTGTTCACGATTTTGATGAATAAAAAAAAATAATTTGAAAATGATTGAACATAATAATCTTACTTTTTTTGTGAAACTAAGGATACAACATATGGTAAAAATGTTTTTCAAAAGTAATAAGTCTTGATTCTAATGCTTTTAAGGTAAATTGCAAATGTATAAATTATATTTTTTTTTAGCTTTCATTTTGGGGTGATAAGCTCCTTCAATATCTCTTTCCATTTTATATTAATTCATACAATCCATTTTATTTTATATTTAGTGATATTGGCTTTATCTTTGTGGGGTCTTGGAGTTTTGGTCTTCTTCTCTTTCGTTTACCCATCACTTGAAAACTCTTAACCTTGTTTCTTATATAGTTGTTAGGCCTTTTCATCCTATATCCATACCACCACCTAAGTCTGTTTTTTCCTTTTTTCTTTCTCATGATCTTTTTTAAACTTCCCAGTATATTCGTATTTATCTTATCCTTTTTTATGTCCTTGCTATCATTCATTCTCATCTCCATTCTCTGTATAACTTTCTCATCTGATTCCTTGAATTGGCCATATTTACAAACTCTATAAGATAGCTAATTGCATTATGAAACTCTAGAGCGGACAGAGTAGGTCACTCTAATAACAACTCTCAAGAGACTCGTAGAAATTCTATCACCTTAAGAAAATTAACCTCTCAATCTTCTTTTATATCATCCCTTTTAATATGACCAGCTCCTAAGCAATGATGAGCTACGTCACGCCATCGGTCTAAGACTTAATTGTGATATGGTAATACCCTATCACTGCATCCTTTGTCAAACGCCGGTCAACTCCAAAGGCCGTCACTCTTTACACTGCAAGCGCTGTAGAGGCAGATTCATTAGACATTCAAAATGCAATGATACTATTGCCAGGGCCCTAAAATCTGCCGGTATCCCATCAACCCTCGAACCTACTGGAATCTACAATTCTGATGGTAAGCGTCCCGATGGCTCTACCATAATCCAATCCCTTGGAAGAGGGGGGAATTCCTAACCTGGGATTTCTCATGCATCGATCCCCTTGCCCCTTCCAATATAAATAGAGATGCTCTAGTAGGCGCCGAGACGAATAAACTCGCTAAGTAATCGCCATCGCTTCCGGCCAATTACACATTCCTACCACTAATCGCCACGACTCTAACGTCGTTCGACTCTCATGCCCTGGCCTTAAAGAGCTGGGGAAACGGATCTCTAATAGAACCGAAGATCCCAACGAGGGTTACTACCTACGCCAAAGATTAGCCCTCAATATAATAAAATCCAATTACCTCAGCTTCATATTCTCAATGACTGATACCCCCTAATCACAGAATCGGCGATGAGAAAAGCAATCAGTGGCGTAGCTACGGGGGTGGTTTTCGGTTTGGACCCCTCCCAGAGCAAAAATAATTTTTAGATTATACGTTCAAAAAGACTTAAATGTGACTTTATATCAAATAAATACCATTAATATTTATATTTTTCTGGTTTTGATGTTTGTGGAAGGATATTATTTTACTATTGAAATTATTCTGGATAGTATTATTAAAAAGTCAATGATAATAATCTACTAAATTATAATAACATATTATTGATGCATTTAAAAAATATATGTAATATTTATTATCGAAGATATGGTTATAAAATAAACCCGGCCGAAGGCCGGACAAAAGGGCCGAAGGCCCGTTAAAGGAGGTCTGGGGGGCTTCGCCCCCCAGGCTTTTATAAGTATGGACCCCCTCTAAGGAAAATTCCTAGCTACGCCACTGAAAGCAATTAAGAACAAGAGAGAGATATTCAGATGGAAGTCAACAAAAGAACCAAACCCTAATCACAGAATCGGCGATGAGAAAAGCAATTAAGAACAAGAGAGGAATATTCAGATGGAAGAAGAAAAACTGAAGGGCAAACTGTGAAAATTCATAATTCTTTTAAATCATATGCTCAATTTATTATATTAATTTACTATATATTTATTTATATTATTTAAATATATTATTATTTATCCTTAAAAGATATACCAACAAATGTGATATATTTTCTTCCCTATTTTAATTTTTTCGCGTAATTTTCTTCATATTTTTTTATATTTTTTTTTACGTTTAAAAATTTAAAATTATTTATATGAAAATTAAATAATATATACTTTGACTTCTAAATTTATAAGCTTTGATATTTGTTGTGATTTCTCTCTAACCTCTTGAATCTTCATAGTTACTTCAATTAACTAACAATATCTTTGGGAATCTCTTAAAATAACTAGCAATATCTTTGGGAATCTATTAAATTAACTAACAATATCTTTGGGAATCCATTAAATTAACTAACAAAATCTTTGTGAATCTATTAAATTAACTAACAATATCGTTGGGAATTTATTAAATTAACTAACCATATCTTTGGGAATCTTTTGGATTTAGCAATACGACAAAACACCTATTTTAAAATAAAATACGAACTAGAGGGACGATACCACATTATTATTGTGGAGATTTTTATAATTATGTCATATAATAATTTGTCATGTCTTACTTGCCGGATAATTTTTAAAGAGGCTGATGACCAAAGACTCCATTATAAATTAGAATGGCACCGATATAATCTTAAAAGAAAAATGATAGATCTGCCACCAGTTGATTTGGAAACATTTTGTAATAAACTTATAAAACAGGAAGATATAAATCCACATCAGTTCTATTGTAAATTATGCAATAAATTATTTTATTCTGAAAATTCCTATGATGCACATAAGAAATCTAAAAAACACATGAATGCCTCAAATTCCTTGACTAAAAAGGATATAGAGTGTAACAAGGAAATAGTTGACATAAATAAAAATACAATTGATAGCTTACAAATTGAAGCGAATCTGGATTCAAATAATGAATCTTCCTGGGAAACCCTCTCATCAAATTCTGATGCTACTAATGATGACAATAAAAGTGCACCTATTGTAAACAAGAATTTGACATGTTTATTCTGTGAAAAAAATTCATCCATTATATCAAATATTGATGAAGATTTAATGCATATGAATGAAAATCACTCATTTTTTATTCCCTATTTTGATAAAGTTGTTGATATGAAAGGGTATTTACAATATTTGGATTATAAAATAAAAGTTTGTAACACCTGTATTTGGTGCCACAAAAAGTTTGCAAGCACCTTAAATTGTCAAAGGCACATTAATGATAAAGGTCATTCTAAAGTTAAGTTTGATCCAGAAGATGCAATATCAATTGAATATTTACAATTCTACACTAAAAAAAACATCAAAAACATAGTTCAAGATGGTGATAAGCTCAAGAGATTGATAGATAATGTGTTTGGTATATCCTATAATATCTTGAAAAATATATCCGATTCAAAAGATGAAAGCTACATAACTCAGGAAGATATCTTTCAATTAGCTTTACCAAATGGACTACTCCTTGGTCACAGATCCTTAAATGTTTACTATAAGCAAAGAATTGTTAATAACTCTAGGGCGTTGGATATAAGGCGAAAACAAAAATCCATAATTAACACTGCTAAATTATTTAGTTCTTCTAACCTGAATCAATGGAATTTAAACATTAACACTGCCAACGCTAAACAAACTAAACTATCGAAATGGGATATCAGAAGGGACAAAAGATATTTTTTGATTCCTTACAAAAATTACCATAAAAAGGCCTTGAGTATAATGCTTAGAGCTAACAGCCAAAGACATTTCCGGCAACAAGTCGACTTTTGAAAACACCTATATATTAACAAATCAAATATAATCTTTTCTACATTACATAAACTTTTTTTCACATTATTGTATAATATAAAATCAAACTTTTTGATAGACAAAACTTGAAGTTTTATTTAGTATAATAAATCAGTTGATGGTTAGTATATATTATTTGAATTAATGAAAGATGGAATTGATGAAGATTCAATAAATAATTTTGTTTTTGGAATTTTCTTCTTGGGGAATAATAAACCGTTGATTAGTTTCAATACAATTTATTTGATCTGTAATCAATTTCCGAAAAATTTGTCAAAATATTTTCACCTACATTAAAATTATTTACTTAAAAATAAACTTTAAAATTGATTTAAACAAATTACAGTTTAAATTGTTGGATTTCGAACGTGTATTTTTTTAAAATATATTGAAAATAATTAATATAATATTACAACCAAGTCAAAGATTGGAAAGGTTAATAGGAATTTTTTTGCTGAATGGGCATCATTCCCTACCACAAGATAGAATGTATTAGTCAAATGACAATGATATCACTATGCCAATCGTTAGGGATTCAATGACACACCTTACATTTCGCTGTATTAAAGGGAATCTAAATTTATTCTGATAACCCAACTCTTAAATAACGAGGATAATCTTTATAACCAATATTCTAAATTTACTAAATAAAAATTTTTCAACAATTTGGTATATTTTTACACAATTTTGCATAGATGAGCAAATGATCATATGGAAGAAAACATTCCTGTAAATGTTTATCAAAGCTAAACCCATTCAATTTGGATAAAAATCACGGACCCTTGCTTCCTCAGATGAATAACATTTTAAAAATAAAAGCCCAACAGCTTTGAATCTTGGATTGAAAGGTGATGGAACTATATGAGAAAATTGACCCCGGGTCTGGACCCCCCCTAGAAATAATTAAAGATAGGGCAAAAAGAAAGGAAAGGAGCTATTACTATTACCGATTATGAAAAGACAATCGAAAAATTTGTGGTTCAATGGAATGATAGTTTAGTGATGACAGTTGCATCAATATGTTGATAGATTCATATAATTCCCATATGAGTGACTGTTAATCTGTGTCGATAACAGTGTCAACATACACGAGGTAAAAAATATGGTGGTTGCCAATTTTTAGCAATTTAATTGACTGGTAAATTTGTGGAGGTTATGGAATCGAGTTAATCATGATAAAGAAAATGTAAGGATGGAGACATGTAGAAACTCCCCCCCCCCCTAGTTAATTTTCTATATACTAAGTGAAACAACTGAAAATATTTATGGACATTATATAGCAACGAATACTAATAACAAAAGACCACGGTGTGAATTTTGTCATAGCCGCCGGACAAAATATATATGTAACACGTCTCATCAACCAATGCACATCGATAGTTTTAAAAATATTATAATTATAATATCTAATAAATATAAAATATATCAATAATTTTTGAAATTCTATATCGTATTCGATGACATTTAATAATACCTAGACTGACGTTTGAAAGTGTCGTTCAAATCAGCTGGACCCGCCAAACCCATATATTAATTATTCTCATGTTAAAACCTACTATTAAATTACCTTTCCTTATTATCTCGATGATCTGGCAATTCCTTTAATAAAGTTTGCGTCAGAAATAGGAATAAATTAGCCTCTCGTTTAAAATTTTTAATAATGATTATAGGTAATCAAAATGGCGTTCCCAGCTGTTTTCATTTGATGTACACTTTTAATGAATGTATCGCCAGTCTAGATATTATTATACCTCATTAATCGTATTTCAATTTTTTTCAATAATATATTCTCTTATTTTTATACACTCCTAATTGGTCAACTTTGCAGATATGCAAAGATTTATTTTTCCTATTTAGTAAGATTTTTTTTTCGCGCCGATTTATTTTTTGATGATTTCATGGAATAAATAAAATTTGAAAAAATCATGAATTTTTATCGGGCTGGAAAAAGTCCGACCATTGATAAGTTAACAAATAATATGTGATCAATAAACAAATTAATTTATTTTTTTGGCTTGTGGATTATTCGAAAAAAATTTTGTCATATAATTCTTAATGCTAAACTAATTTAGCGGTTAAAGTTATACAAAAATTATAAATTAAGGATATATTTTTAGATAGTATTTAACAGAGTTGTTAAAGGATCTAGATACTTAGATATAAAAATGTGGTATCTGTATCTAGATAGATTTTTGATTAAAATATCTGTATCTAGATATTATTTTAGACGATGTATCTGTATCTAGATCCATTTAAAAAGTATCTTTTAACAACTCTGGTATTTAAACAACGGCTCGATTTGAGCCGGTTTTATAAAAATTATCCAGAATAATATAGCGAAAGCCTGAAGATTTTGCTCATAGATGGCACAAAGGTCTAGACATCAATTAGCAGAATTTCGTGGTTTAAGAAGTATTTTTCTTGTTAAAATATTGAGTAGCCGTTTTAAACAACACTATTTTTAGGCTCACAAAACTCAAATTTAACATATAATTATTTTATTTGTAAATTTTTTTAAATATTATTATTATATAAATATATATATGAATATATTGGTATATAAAAAAAAAATATTAGATATTTTCATATCAAATAATATAATTTTGTTGTGATAAAAAAATTTCATAATCGCGACTTGAAAAAAAGATTTTATTATAGAAAAAAATAGATATAGGTGAAATAATTTTAAGCTTATCGTTAGTATCATAGAGAGGCATTGATATTGTGCGGGTGCGAATGCGTGCCCATGTGTACCTAAATAAATATTATTTATATTGTTATAAACATAAAATACCATATCATTATTAATAAATATGTGACGTAGTAACTTAGACTTAAATAATTTTAAAAGTGAAGGAGGGAGGGGGGGGGGGAGGAGACATCTTTTGTAAGTAAACAAAATTATTTACACTTTTTGAAAAAATAAAATCAATCTGGATTGAGTATTTAGGAATGCGACTATATTCTTATTCTCATTGGCATAGTATGGAAGAAAGAAAGAAAGTGTAAATTATTTTTACAATGTAATTTTAACATAGTTAATATTTATTTTTAATTATTATAAGAAATTAATGTATATTACTTTAATATTCAATAAAAATAAAATGCCTATTCAATTTTAGAGAAAATAGTATGATGCCCTTTCCAATTTATAGGACTACTACTACACTGGTTATTCTTCTCTCCCATATAAATTGCGATATTACATTTTAAAAGAAAATAATTATAGTTCCATATAAAATTAATATCTCATTGTTGTCCCCTAATTGATGTGAAATAATTTTGGCTAGATAAAACTTATGTTTACTAGAGGATTTCCCAAACTCAGGTAGGTAGGTACCCAACAAACGCAGCACACTCTATTCCACTAAATATCCCTTCCATATTTACTCAGTTACTTTATAATATCGATTGATGAAGGTGTTTAATTAGTTATAAAAGGGAGATTTAGCGGATTTAAAACCAAAAAATTACCGTTTTTAAAGGGGATAAAACTTCCACTCGTTAAATTTGAAGCGCATAAATTATGTATTTATTAACAAAATTTACTTTTAAATTTCCTTTAGTGGTGAAGGCCCTATCGCATAACGGGCATCTGAACGGGCGGTCTCCGGTATGAGTTCTCATGTGGATATGCATTGCACTGGTGCTTGAAAAATGTTTCAAGCAAACCTTTTATTTATTTTTTTTGAATTATATATAAAAAAAATATATATATATATATATTTGAATACATACATTTTTATCAAAAAATAAAAGGGACAAAATCTCGACTCACTGGACATTGATTTTTGAGTAGGGAGTCTTTATTATCTTGATTTTCATTTTGGTTCATATTGCATTGTGGTGTTGAATTGGCTTCCCTTTTTAGGTTATTTGAGCTATCGTTGGCATTCTTGTCATAACTTTTGGCACATGTGTCAGGGCTATCCAAGGATTCTTAATTAATATTCATATTGTATAAAAGGTGGTGAGTAAATTCGTAATTTACTTGAATCACAGGATTTATCGTCTTGGTCTTCTGACTGTTGCGTAAATGTTAAAGGATAGTAACTCGTAAAAGGGGGTATTTCTGTAGGCGGCCTTTGCGGTGGGATATTAGATATGCTAGTATCGTCATCTTTCACCAAGGATAGTGGCTTTGATGATGGGCTAAACGAAGTCGAATCTTTCGAAGGGGTAGGAATAGAGGTAGATATGGTATTTGGGTCAAATTTGGGAGAAATCATATTAGGATGGAACATCATGTAAGGAGACGGGTAATAATATGGGGCCATTTCTGAAAAAGCGATGTTTGATTGCTTGGCCTGTAGCATTGCGGTGGACATGTATTGCACGTATCTATCGTAGGGGGAAAAATAAGGAGGAACAGAGAGACCATCAATCGATGGAGGTAGAAAAAAGTAAGGGTGGTGTAAGGGGTTTAAAGAGGCGAAAGGTTGAGAAGACATTGGTGGGAATGGAATGGATTTAATATTTTGCGAAAAGGTGTTTGGTATAGCCGTTGGATGAACTGCTAAACTCTCTTCGAGCTTGGTCGGGCTTACCTTAGGAGTATTATCGTATTTGTTACCTCTCCTTAATAAAATTTCCGCCGATAATGGAGGTGAAAAGTGAGGAGGCGTTAAACTTCCGGATTTTGACTCGTTCAAGTTTGCCAAACTGACAGACAAGGAAGGAGTGACATTTTGCTTGCGAGAACGAATAATTGTTGATGCGGAGTTATTTCTACCAACCAATGAATTTAGCATGCTTGGACTCAATTGAGACTTGTGGGTTAGCATGTGTTGTCTCATATTACCTTTTGTCGAGAAATGTCTGTCACAAATTTCGCATTTAAATGGCCGCTCTTTGGTGTGAGATCTGTAATGAATTTCTAACGCCGAATGGCATGCCAGAACTTTGCGACATATGTTACACGTAGTGTGGAGTTTTGTCACATCCATATCTATGTCATGACTTTTTAGATCTTATTTTTAAATTAGTTAATATAAATATTTTTAAAATTATAATTTATAATTATCCCAGTGGCGCCAATAACCTTGACGATCTCACCCTGCATTCACAGTTATGGCGAATTCGCGGAGGATTGTATACTTCTCCGCGAATTTACGCTAACTATGAATGCAGGTTTAAGGGGCTCAACATTATAAAAACCAAATTTTCATTTTTTAGAAATTACATTGAATTTTCAAAAAAAATTTTTTTTTAATTTTCAGAAAGCTGGAACCCCTAGCAGAGGCGTGCAGAAGTGCCATTTGCTCGGTCCGGCTCATGACCCGGGCTGGGCCTGCATGTCAGGTCTCTGCAAGGTTTGGATATAATGAAGTTTCGAATTAATTTTAATTTAAATAGATATATATAATTAAGTCAAAATTTAATGACCTTGTCTAAAATTATACCGCACGGCCGTGGGTTCTACGCGTGCTAGAATAGGTTATTCTGTCGTAAAATTTTGGGTTAACTTTAATGTCTAAAAATCTATTGGAAAATCGATATTTAAATTGATTCAAAATTTTGTGACAAAATTGTCCGATAATTCCAATGACATATATAATACCTAGACTGAGGAATCATTGATTAAAAGTGTACATCAATGCATATCAGCTGGAGACGCCATCTTGGTTACACTAATCATTATTAAAATTTTAAACGAGAACCTAATTTTATTTCTATATCTGATGCAAACTTTATTAAAGAATTACCGGATCATCGAGATAATAAGGAAGCAAGTTATCAATTTATTAGTAGTTTTTAACATGAGAATAATTACTATATGTGTTACCAAATTGGAGGCTCCAGCTGATTTGCTTTTAACGACGCTTAAAAACGCATTTTAATGAATGAATCGTCAGTCTAGGTATTATATATGTCATTGGATAATTCATATGGCAGGTCTAACTATGCTGGAATACAATTCCGTCAAAATTAAATCTTAAAATTTAAAAAATGTGCGCTGCAAATGATGCAAGTTTTAAAGTTTCCAATATACCCTATGACATACATTGTATTATGTCTCAATAATAGCATTTTTAGTGACACAATGTCCTTTTGTTGAGACTAATGTTATTGATAAATGCCGCATATCAATGACACGCGTCTATTTCAAGTGCTAGACATCATTTCAATGACTCTCTCTCTCTCTCTTACAAATTATTATAATTCTTTTTAGCATTGGAAATAGTTAGATAGAATACCTTGATTGGACTTGACCTTGTAATCTATTAAGCTTGAATGCTGATTAACATCGAGTGTAGCTACTTTAACCAAACCTACAATGAAATAAAAGACATATTATATATTATTTTTTTTTTAAAAACGATAAAGCAAATATATAATAACTACTAAGCGCACCCAGGTCCGGTCTGCCCCGCAAACGCTTCTATTATAACTACATTAAATTATCGCAATACCTAAACGGGGAGATTTTGATGGAGTAGCGAAGGCCTTGACACTAGGAAAATAAGGAATGGGAGGTATTAGAGGCTCCGATTTTCCCGAATAATTGATTGGCGGGGATTTATAAGCGTTGTTAAAGCCCTTCAACGTTTGCATCATTTGGTTCAAGTACGTTTTATTCCAATCCTGGGTGCTTGTCGAAAATTTTCTATGGCCTCGATGAAATAGCGCGCGTTTGTCATCCTGGTGTCTCATCGAATGCGCCTTTACATTGGAATAATATATTTGTTTAATAGTTAAATGTTATATGAAAAAGAATGTCACTTAAAAAAATTAGCGACATTAGTAATGACATTTCTTCAGATTTCGCACAAGTACACCCTGGTTATATTCTAAACAATAATTCCCGCTCAGTTAGTGATTTGTTTCCAAACTCCGGAATGTTTTCAGAGAATTTCGCGCGCTTATAAAACCATAGGAACATGGTCCAAATCATTTTAAAATGAATTTATTACTTTTTTTTCTCTAAAAATCTGGTACTTTCATCTACGGATAGCGGGCCCAATAAATAATGATTTTCATACTTTTTTGTATATAGCACATTTAAAGCAACTTAAAAATATGTATGTGTGTCGTAGAAGTTTAGCAAATAACATTGGAAGACCTGATTTTGCTGAAATAGTATCGCTAAATATATAGTATAGAGTTTACATAACCTGAGAATTTAGGGACAATTTTAACCTAAACATTCGATTAACAGATTTTCCAAATATATTGTAAATACATACAAAAATAAGCTGCAAAATTGTCTGATCAGAGAGTGGGATACTCTATACATGTTGGAATATGATTCCAAATAAGATTAGGTCTTAAAATTAGAAAAACGTGGGTTATTATTGATGTAATGCAATTTTTGCTTTTTTAAAATTTGGTAAAAAAAACTATGATCGGGAACAATAAAAACTTATTAATGAACATAGTTCGTGAAAAAAAATTGATTTTTTAAACCTTAAGATTTCCTTTGGTCGTAAAGGAGGCCTCGCAAACTTCGCACGAGAAAGGCTTTTCCCCGGTATGAGACCGGATATGAACTTTGAGGGAGGAATCGCTGCACATAACTTTACCACAAAATGGGCACTGATTGTATTTCTTGAAATCGTTGAGTAACGAGTCCTCGGCGAATCTACTTTTAAAAGGAATACCAGCAGGATCTTGACCAGTTTTTAACCAGCGATCGTAGTCAAAATATTCTTTCATCAGCATAAGGTGACTGGATCCATTGTTAAAAGCGTCATTGAAGCGGCGAGGGTCCGGTTTGATGTTAGGCAATGATTGGTGAGACATATTTTTTAAGTCGTCATAGGATGCGGAAAATTCGCGAGGGGATAGGTTCAGACTAAAATTTCTCAGGGGCAAATTTTTCGATTCCACTTTAAAGATATTTTGGGGGTTGGAACCAGAAATTTGTTCGTTTTTGGCTTTTGGAAGATGGCAATAGTCCTTGGCCGATGAAAAGGAATAATCACCCTCAAAGTTGACGTGAAACGATATGGCATCTGAAATGAGCGGCTCCGAGCGCGTTTTCCTTTTAAAGGGAAAATCGTGACTTTCCATCACTCGATTTCTTTTGATGCTGGGTGTCCCTTCTGATTGGTTGTACCGTTTGACAGAACGATCCTCGTTATACTCCGAGATACCCTCCGATGAAGCACCGTGATCACTATTAACCTGCAGTAAGGGTTCGAATGATGTTCTTTCGTAGTTGAAAACACTATTATCCGCCATTTTGAAGGGTTCGCTGCTATTCAACTCGTATTTGCATTGTAGTTTCTGGTTGGATTCATTGCAAGATTGGTGATTCTTGGAATAGGTATGAGAGGATTGGCTGGGTTCGTGACAATTTTCGGAACTGGATAACAACTTATCCAATTTACTTTGAAGCTGGGATATAGTTTGAGATTTAGCCATTTCAAGTTCGACTATTGTTTTGCAGATTTTTGATAAATCCGTCACGTCAACATTACCCCCTTTATCGCTCCGCCTCAGAGTTCTCAATAAGTGTTCGATTCTATCCTTTCCGACAGTTCTGTCTTCCTCAATTTTCTCCATAATAACATTCTCTTCCTCACACTTTTTGCCATCGTACTGGCTATTATCGACGATTTCGGCATCATCTTGTCGATTGTTCCCAATGTTGCTAGAGGAATGTTTCCGAGTATAATCACTTTCCGCATCATTTATGATCGGTAGGAAGTCCTTGAGATCTGATTTATCGAAAAACGAGTTGGAGGTATAGGCGGAGCAAGATGAGAGGGAAGCAGGAGATAAAACGGAAGCCGCGTTGCTAGAGTAGGTACCGCACTGTTCCTTGATAGATTTAATAGCGGAGTCATAATCGGGATAATGATAAGACAAAAGTGAGGCACTATTGCTGTGCGTCATGCTCATAGACGTGGTCGTGCCATTAGTACCAGGATTCGATTTTGATGACGGCACGTGATTATGGTTGGACGAACCGTTGGCGCGTATAGAAGGATATGACGGTATCCCGTGGATGGCTAAAAGGGTTTGTTGTAGGGAGTGTTTGTTGACGCCATTTTTCTTTTTCATTATCACTCCGGGTTTTCGATAGAATTCCCTGTATTGGTCGATTATAGATTTACGCGATTTGTTGGATTGATTAGGAGATCGGTGCCGATATTCGGAACTAATATGTTCTCGATTTTGCTTACAATCCAGCTCCCCTGGAGAATTCATTCTATGGCAAATTATTTATAATTTATTTATATAGGATTTTTATTATAGATTTAATATGATGGGGCAGGAAGAGATATTAACGATAACATTATAATATTCAACATTTAAAACCATCATATCCCTATCTCTTATTTTTTTTTATTAAAAAAATTAAAAAAAAAAATTTTTTACCCAAAAATAATAATTATTAAATTAAAAATTTATTAAAAGTCTATATATTTTTATATTTATAAATTTTATTTTGATAAATAAAAATATTTCTATTATTTTGCTTTGTTTTATTTTAAAAAAAATCTTTTAAAAATATCGGTTATCATTTTAACCTCTTTCAAAAAATAAAAAATATAAAAACCAATTTTTTTATTCTCTAAAAAAAAATAAAATATGAAAATTATAACAGAAATTTTAAAAGTTTAAACTTATAAAAAAAAAATATTCTTCTTTTAACCGACAAAGTGACATTAAAAACATTTAGACGACAAGTGGAATGTCATAGAATATATATAAAAAAAATTTGAATGAAAAATAAGTTAGAGCAAAGTTATTGGAAATAAAATAAGAATAAATTTTTTACTTCTTTATTATAATAATATTTTCTTTTTCTTTTATATTCATTTATATTTATTTTTTTAGATATAAAATTTTAATAATAAAACAAGCATAAAATATCATTGTTTTATTTTATTTTATATTTTTTAATAATAAAATAAAATATTATAAAATTAAATTAAATTTAAAAAATCAATCAAATTTTTTTTTCTTATAATATAAAGTTATAATAAATTAATAAACTAAATTGCATTTCACTGATTTTAACAAGAAGTTAAAATAATATTTTAAAAATAAAATAGATAATTTAAAATATTCATCAAATATTATTAAAAGTTAGTGTTTGTCAAAATGGAAACTCAATATTTTAGCCAGAAAAAAATTATTGCCCAAGTTTCGAAATTTCGTTGATAGACGTCCAAACTTTTGTTTCATCTATGAGCAAAATCATTAAAGCTTGCCTCATAATATTTTTCTGAATAACATCCGTTTTTAAAAAAACCTGCTCAAATCGAGCCAACACTAATTACAAGGTATTTAGCAGAGTTGGATCTAGATATAAAAATGTGGTATCTGTATCTAGATAGATTTTTGATTAAATAATCTGTATCTAGATATTATTTTAGACGTTGTATCTGTATCTAGATCCATTTAAAAAGTATCTTTTAACAACTCTGGTATTTAGTAATATATTCAATTCGTTTTTAAGTGGCTGGGGTAAAAAAAATAAAAAAAATTGATCCAATAGATGTTGGGGGAGGGGGGGGGGAGGCAATTTATGTCTATCGCCGCCGCTAAACGCATTACTCCCAGCATAATTTTTTTTATAGAAGACCTTAATTTGATTGATAAACAGGGACTTGTTAAGATCTTTATTGGAATTAGAGTGGGTATAGAGGGAGATTTGGCTTTGATAATTCATGATAATTTTGATAGGGGGATAATATTATTGGCTAAGGGAGAAGGGGGTTTAGAAATATCCCCGAATATTCCAAATGCACTCCGACTCCTTCACAACCCCGTGATGTATTGGAAAAGTGGTTTACTATCATTCCGCCAGCCCGAAATATTTTATAGCTCAATTTATATATAAATTAAAAAAATATATAATTTTATATATCAAAATGGTAACTTGTTTCAGCAATTGTAAATATAATAAAATTCCATAAATCTAGGAAGCTCAATCTGGAAGGTTAAATGTCAATCGATCTAGGCTTCAGGTCAGAAATATTTTGAATCCAGTCCTGCTATTGAGGGACGGAATATAACGGAATACGGCTCAGTTAATGAATATACCCAATTATTTATTTATCGATGAGAGTTTTACCTACACCAACCTTAAAAGTGCTGATTCTATTAAAAATAGGAGACTCTATGCTAAAGTATTAAGTACAGTTAATGAGGGGAAATAGCGTATTTTAGATTGATAAGTTTTTTGAAATCTTAGAGAAGCATAGTATCATATAAAAGACTTTTTAAACATCTTGCGTGAGGGTAAAAAGAGAAGAAGAGAGCGATATTAATCTTTTAAGTAGTTATCAAAATAGAGGTCGGCAAAACCCGGCCCGCTTCGGCCCTTTAAGAGTTTTTGCAAGTTGTTCGGCTAGAAATTTGTCTCTGATCCGTCAGTTATAGCTTCTTTTTAAAATTTATTCAGCCTCATAAGGCTATCATTTTTTAAAAAAATTTGCTCGATCCATAAAATTTTTAAGAAAAGCCAGCCTCGGGCCGTTAAATTTATTTTTATATGAACTTTCCGGCCATCGCATTTTTAATATCTATATATCTAATTTTTTTTTGCCCAAAAGGTACTTATATCTCTCTTCTATAGCCATCTATTACCTTCTACAACAACTGTTTTCAAGTATTAGAGGTGTCTGCAATGGACGGGTCCAAGGTCCACCCCCGTTCGCCAAGCGTACAAAATTGTCGCTCATCACAGATTCTCTAATCTGTATCCTGTATTTGTAATTAGATTCGTATTCACAAATGACTTGTTTTTCTTTTTGCGAATATACTATACTATACTATATATATATATATATTTAATATTTCCTTAAAATACAAAAAAAAATAATAAAAAATTATAATTTATTTTTAAATAGTATTAAATATTAATCAAAAAATATTAGCTTAAAATTAAAAAAAAAATAATTATATATATGTCGTAATTTTTAAAGGGATCATGACTATCCGGGATCTTCACGGGATTTAAAGGGATAACTAAAAAATTAGGGTTGATAATTAAGGAATGATAATACGGGGATCATCACGTTTTAATCGTGATAAAGAGGAATCTTATTTTAAAAGCGTTTCCACGAGTTTCGTTGCGTTTTTAATTTTCAAATTTGTTTTTTTTGGCCTTATGATATAAGATATGTCTAGTATAGGGTATCATTCGATAGCTAATCAAAAGATTTATTCAACTGAAGGTCAATCTCTGCCCCGTAATACCGTATAGTTCTTTATCCTTTAAAAAATTGAAATTTTAAAGAGATCCCTTTAAATCCCGTGAAGATCCCGGATAGTCATGATCCCTTTAAAAATTACGACACATATATATATATATATATATTGTAATTTAAATTATAGTACTGGCCGATTTAAAATTTTACCAATGCGAGGCACGCCTGATATTTTATGTATAATAAATTGTCAGCCCGACCTGAAAGTTTTTATCCGCAATTTGCACGGCTCCGTTTGATTTCTCATGTAAAATAACTATTTAAAAAAACAGCGAAAAAAAACAACAAAATCTTAAATATTGTTTTAAACGAAATTAATTTCTTTAAAAAAAAAAAAATTAAGTTTTAAATACCTACAAAATGAGCAAATTATTGGTAATGAAAAATCTATAATAAAATATTGGGAGAAGATTATTATATCTAAGATGATTCGTAATAACGAAAAATTTGCGACAAAATAATTGGTAAGATTTATATTTTCCATAAGATTTGGCTGTGGTTAGTAATAAAATTTTAAAAAAAACAAAAAAAATATTCGTTTTTTATTCCTACTTTTATCTTTTATGTAATATACGGTTAGAATTAATTGAATATTTTTTTTTTTAAATGCTTTCAAAAAAAAAAACTAATGTAAATAAATAATTGGAATTATTAATTTTCTTTATATTAAAAATGGCAAAAGTTTTTAGAAAAAGAAAATATACAAAATTATTTATAGTATAATAACTATATATTCAATTTTATAGACTTGTACATTATAAAGATTAAATCAAAATGAACATTATTGTTAAACTATAGAATATAATAGATATATATTTTATATAATAGATTATAAATAGATAAATTTATAGATTCAATAATTTCCAAAAAAAAAATAGAATATTATTCATAATAAAAATAATAATAATAATAAAGGGATATATTAATCCCATCCTATTCTATTCTATATAAGTGTATATTTATATTTTTATACTAATAAAATGAGTTATATAATAAAATATTAATTTCCTATAAAAAACATTTTCAATTATTATATTTCAATTTTTATAAATTACATTTATTAAAAAGTTTTGGTTAAGTTTAAATTTGAAATATATATATATATATATATTTTAATGAATATATTAAAAAGAACAACTTATTTATATAATATATATTCAAAATAAAATTATTGTATTTTAAGAGTTTTTTTTTTCAATAAATACATTGGGAAATGTATTTACAAAATTTCGATTGAAATTTGGGAAATATTTTCAATAAATAAAATAATTTGTAAATAAGTTATTATAAAATCAATGGATTGGAAATGGAAAATTACAAAAAAAAGCAGAGTGAACCCGGTCGGGCCCAGAAATTCAAAATTGTTTGAGCATTTTGAGACCACAGACCAAAACAGAGACCAATTTATGGGCAACCCATCGAATATTATAGACCTGGGGCTGGTTTGGACCTCTTTTAGAAAACCGGTTTAGATTAAGTTCCCTTTGTATCGAAATTTCCGCTAATTACAAGTTTAAAATTACTGAACCTGACTTCGGGTTTACAAAACCCGAACAAAAGGAACCCAAAAAGGTTAGTCAAACAAATTAATTATGTAAATGGGAGACATTAACATTGTATTTTTGAGAAATATAATATGTATAAACTATTAGAATCATAATGCCATCATATGATGACAATTAAAAACTTATATTCGATATAGATATTAGTGATCTGCATCGGGCCTAATTTTTCAAGCCCGGCCCGGCCCGAAATTTTTTTTAAAAGTTTTGCCGGCCCGGCCCGGCCCGAACCCGAATTTTTTTTAAAAAAAATTTACCCACCCGACCCGGCCCGAATTTATTTAAATATGGAAATTAATTTTTATAATTACTCAAAATAAAAGACATGTGTTATATGTCGTTTAGTTTCAATGAATAAAATCAAATATTTTTATTTTACATAAAAAATCCAATATAAAATTGATAAATTTAGATATATTTTAAAAAAAAGGTCAGACCCGATCCGGCTTGAATTTTTTTCAAAAATATTAGGCCTGGCCCGGTCTGAAGACCGTTCGGGCCTGACTCGGGCCGTGCAGATCTCTAATAGATATAGCTCCGGGATAGGAGGTAGGTGGGATTGGGGGAGGGGTAGTGGAAGAAATTAAGAATTATTTTTCGGAAATTCTTTTAAGGGGTAGAGCGAATCAGGGATGTAAACCCAAACCCGGACCCTGAACCCTCGTATTTTGGCTGAACCCAGAGCCGGACCCTAATTAAAAGTGGAGGGTCCAAGGGTTCTAGGTGTCATAAAAAAGGGGAAAAAAGTGTCAGAAAACTTAATAACTACTCTTAAGGGTATGCTTTAGCTAGTCTTCTTTTCTTTTTAAAATTCTAAATAGCTGTCTAAGAGTATTTTGGTGATCCTATCATTTACCTTATGCCAAAAAAGTGTGTCCCAGCTGTTTCTCTGAATAGGATTGCTCTGCTCAGAATTTTGAACAGAGAACAAGGCGAGCAAGGACACAGCCTAACAATTTTTCCATTTTATATAATGGCAAATTTTAAAATAAAAAATCAAATAATAAATTTTAAATATTAAATTTTTTTAAAAAATCCAATTTTTTGTTGAGTAATTGGCTAAAAAATCAACCAATACGGAGATATGCGCAGTTGGCTAAAAAAAATCAGCATAATGGCTAAAAATCTAAACGGCAAACAATGCAATTACCTAACTTAATTAAAAATTCAAATGAACAGAAATGTTATATTTAAACACTAGTATAATTTATATGATTAACCCAATGTTATTTTTAATAAAAATTTCTGTAAAAATTAAAATGATTTTACACCATAAATATGTAGGCAACATAAAATTATGAATAATTTGAAAATAATAAGATTGTCGTTATTAGGATTTTTTTTTACACAAAAAGACCCGGATTCCTTGATATTTTACTCATAAATGGCAGAAAGGTTTGGACCTCTATTTGGTAAATTTTGAGACCTAGTTACTAGATATGAAATCTAAAACTCTCCTTTTCCCATTTCAGGAAGTTTCAGAATTCATCATGGCTAAAATATATTTTTTTCGAAGATAATAAACATAATAATTAACAAAGGGCTAGTAGAATCAGGGTTAGTCAGATTAATTAAATTATATTTTAGTATATTAATTATATGATAATATAAAAATAAGTATTCATTGGCTATACTATTAAAGATTTTTTTAATAATCATTCTTCGCAAGATTAGGAAAAAATATTAAAAAAAATTATTACAAATTTTACAACACATTTATTTTAAAATTCTAAAAAGGTCATATTTTATCATTTTTATATGAATATTTACATATGGGATGTTATATCAATTAAACATTGTCCATAAATATAAAGAGTTAATAAACCAATTAGGTCTACAAACCCCGGGTTTGGGGCTTATTGAGACACAAATTTACTAGAGACCTCATAATAGGTGAAATATAGCTCCTAATTTCGCAAGAATATAATCAAATTGGAGTTGACTGTTAGTGTTATACAAGAAAATAAAAGGATAGATTTACATAATATTACATTAATTATATTTATTATATGTATATTCGCGGTTATACATTCGCTAAAATGCGTCCCCTTTCGCGTTGATGCATTCGTTAGCAGGAAAAGTTACACCATGCTGACGTGATACGGTTTTAGACAGGCGTCGCCAAGATTTTCCGCCACGCTTTCACTACGATTCTAGGGCCAGATTATGTATTCATCTATAAAATAGTTGCTAGCCCCCCAATTTGTTCAATTTTCAAGGGGGACTGAAATGTATCTAAATTTTTATTAGCTTAAAATGATATCTATTAAAACTTGCAAACTTTAAATATACAATCAAAAAAAATGTATAGAAAAATTTTTGCTATGAAGGTTAGTCACTTAATAAGTCAACTCACAAACCATAGATCATATATATATATATATAATAATAAATTAGTATATTGTATATAGTATGTAGTATTTATATTAACGTGTTCGTTTCTTTCTATCTCTTCTTTCTATATCACCACAACACACAATTAATTGTATTAAAATAAAAATAAAAAAATTATTCAAATTTTATCGCTTTATTAATAATTAATTTGATTTTTTCTTACCTTATTTTTATTTTTTATAATTATATATGTAGATTAATTTTTATATAATTTTACATTTATTTTATTTTTTCTTTCCAATTTTTAAGATTCATTAATATTATTAAATTTTATAATATATAATATAACATTATAATATGTAAAATTATAGCGAGGAGAGAAAAGTCAAAAATGTCTAATTTTTTTTTTAATATCATAAAAAAAAATACTAAAAAATTTGCGGTTTTTAAATTTATATAATTTATCTTTTTTTTGCTTTAAAAGATAATTATAATTATTATAGTTTTTTTTGTTTTTTTTTACAATTATTTAGCCAACAAAACGACGTTTTTTTAAAAAAATAATTAAAAATAACTCGTGATTTGTTTTTTATTGACAGGCAACAAGACAAATAAATACAAGAGTGGCCACGAAAGCGCCTGGAGAAGAAAGAAAGAAAGTCCTCTCCTCTCCTCATAAGATTTTAGTGTTGTTAAAGGCTCGTTTTGAGCCGATTTTTAAAAACAGCTAATTCAATATTTCATCCAGAATAATATTAAGCAAAGCCTGAAAATTTTGCTTGAAGAAGGAACAAAGGTTTGGACATCTATCAGCAAACTCTTGAGGCTTGGAAAATGTATTATGGTTAAAATATTGAGTTAGCCGTTTAACAACACTATATCTTATAGAATTTGAGGTGTATACTAACATCACCCCTCTTTACTAATAATTTATGATGAATATTTTCGAATACTATTAATCTGTGAATATTATTATTTTTTATTCGAATCGAATAATTGTATAAATTCCTATTCATACAATGCGAATCGAATCAAAATAATGTGTTATAAAAAAAGGTTTCTTTGTTTAATTAAGGTATTAATTTTCTGAGGCTACATCAAATTAGCTTAGTGAAAAACGGATGTAATTTCATAAGTTAAAGAAACGCAAAATGTTTAAGATTTTAAACTTCATTATTTGGGGGAATGTTGAATGAAGCCGCCATCGACTAAACTCTCCCCTCCCTAAATATAAAGAGCTATATTTTAATGAATTTTATCATAATAAATTTTCGTAATATATTATATTTATAACATTTTATATACCTATCTCATGTTAAAAAATTTTATTTTTAAAAAAAATATATATAATGGTTTTATTTTTCCCCTATGATTTTTTTTTTGTTTTTTTATTATTAATTGATTGAAAAATAGAAGATGATCAAGAAGCAAAAAAAAAGGGAGAATAAAGTTATGATATTTTTCATTTATAACCATAATAAAACATGAAAACCTGCCTTAATTAATCATAATATTTTATTTTTTTTAAAAAAAATTTTTAAATATTTTAAAAGTTAAATTTATGCTATTTTTTTCTTTTTATCAATAACTTTCTTATTTTAGTAATAATTAATATATTTAAAAAATTTTTTTATATAATAAAATCTGTTGGAATTTTTTTTTTTATAATTATAAATACGTATAACATTGGTAATGATTATTTTATTTTTTGGAAAATGCTTAAGAAAAATACTGGTATAAACTTTTCTTTACTTTATCCCTTAATTTTTAAAATAAATCTACTTTATAATATATGTAGAGTTTGAAAATACCCAATTGTAACTGAATTTGTAACGAAAGTTACATTTTTCCTAAAAAGTAAATAATCATAGGTAACTAGTCAAGTGCTCGGACCCCGAAATAAAGACACGAGTTTACGTTCCATGTTTTGGAACTTTCCAAGAACGCCTTTCCCAGAAAATGTTTCCAAATTTTTATTTTCTATTCAGTACAATCTTTATATGACATTGAACGTTTTTATTAAATCTAAGTTATTAATTATGCCATTCTGAAATAAGATAGTAAGAAGTTTCTATGATCTTTGTTATGCCCAAACACGGAATATTTATGAATAAGCTATCATAAATATTATATATCTATCATTATGTTAATTACGTAATAAATAAATATAAATTAAAAAAAATTTAATTCCATTAACTTTCGCCCCATGAATCTTCTCATAATTCTCCTTTTTTTCCCGTTCCAAAATTTTCCATAACGTCTCCGAAACATTTCTGATCCCATGTCCCTCATTTTTAATATTTCAAACTATACTAAAAAAAATATAGTTTAAATAAAACTCAACTAGTTACTACATTACATAACCCTAAAAATTATTGATTGCTTATTATAGATCAACTTTAATCTAGAAGGGGGGGGGGGGGGGTCATATATAAAATATTAATGGAAAATTTTTTTGTAAAGAGTTTATAATATTAATTATATAATAAATATTATGGTAATCGAAAAAGATACTATTTAAGTAATAGCAAAAACCACAATTATTTAAAAATAAAACATGTAAGAAGATGCAATTAGAAAAAGATATTCCAAATTGTGTTGATTTAATTTTTTAAAAAAAACTGTTTTTTTTTAAAATGTCTTGTGTATTTTTTGCACGGATATTTCCGTTAATATTATTATAATGATAAGAGTAATTAGAGAATATCATTATAACAAAATTGCCAAAATATGATTACACACAATTGATAAATTAAAATATTAAAATAATGCAATAAGGATTTTGTATGTTATAATTCCTAATTAAATTATATGTAAAAAACGAATAATTTAAAACTATGAAATTTTGATTTGTAAAAAAAAAAATTAACAATAACTTAATCAATAAATTGATATTACGCAATGCGTGTGGTGGTTAGTGTATGATAAAAATGTGATTTATTCTGGGGGTAAAAAAATAAGGATTATTGAGTCAAAATTATTTATTAATAATAAAATCATCCTTCCCATTAAAAAAATTTAATTTTTTTTTTATCTATAATCTAATCTAATAATATATATTTTTTTTTATTGATACATTGATTAGTTTAAAAATTATTTAAAATATCAAATTTATATTATTAAAGAAAAATTAAAATATCAAATAGGCCGCTATGACAACACGCGCGTATTTTTCACCGCCGAAGACTGGAGATGAGTGAAACAAAATAAGAGCTATTACCTGAATTTTATATTTTATTTTATTTTTTTATCGATTTAGATTCCCAAAATTTATGCATAAAAAGTAATTCATTATTGTCAATACTGTACACATTATACTTACTTACTTATTATACTAATCATAAATATATTTATATATTAAATTTTTTTTATAATTTATCTTTATTTTTATATACATATATAATATATTAACAAATGCAATCACGTTAGGTTATTATATAAATTACATAATTAATATTTATTTTTATTTTTTAAGAATTTTAGGTGAAAAAGGAAGAAAAGGTGTAATATTAAAATAATATTTATTAAAAATTAATGAGTATATTTATATAATATTATATAATTTATTTTTTTTTTGATGGCATAAAAAAATAACATAAAAAATTTTTTTTTATGCATAATAATAATAATAATAAATAAATTAAGAAAGAAGAATAATTATTACAAAATATAATTTATATGTATGATTAGGAATTATATTTATTTATAATTACAATATTTAATTTAAATAAATTAAATATTTTTTTTTATTAGATGCTAATTTACCTGAACATGACAAAAAAAAAAATTAATTTTATATAATTCTATTTATATGCATATTCATATTCATTTTCTTTCTTTCATTTATTTTTTTTTTGTGTGAAAGATGTGGCGATGGTAAAGAGACAACAGGACTTAATTTATTGGAGTAATTTTTTTTTAAAGATTATATAATCCACTAGGGAAAAACTCTTTCCCTTGGGAGGGGGGAGGGGGTGCAAGTTCTTCGTTTAAATAGCAAGTAGTGAGAACATTATTCTCATTTGAAATAAAATCGGGTTGGGTATTCATTCGGATTTTCTATTCAGCTAATTTTGATGAAGATTTTAAGGTGGCAGAAGGCAAAATTTTTGAGGGTGCGGGTAAAGTTCTTTGATTCGTGAGGGGTTAAAAAGTTGTGAGGGCAATATTGTTAGAATCTTGGGGGAGAGAGGGGAGGGGCGAAGTCTTTACTTCCTCCCGAAGTTATGTTAAAAATTATATCATGAAGTTTATAAGAATTTTTTTTTTGTTTTTTTTTGGTTTTTTTTTGGATGATAGCAGAATAATCCCAGGCAAAAATATTCATACAATATAACATGACCTTCATAAGCCCAATTATTATAAAAAAAATAAGGGGCCTCTTCATTAAGTGGATTCCATGGATTCAATATGTTTAAAAATTTTACAAATCCTGGCTTAGAGGGATAAGGAAAATATATTAGCAAAGATCTCTGGAGAGGTTTCTAAGAATTATTTACTACACAACAGTCTCCCGAGAGCTTCAATTTTTTTATATTTTTTTTAGACTTCTAAATTAATTTATTATAATGTTATAACTAATTTCCTAAAAACAAATTCTGGTATCTAATTTATTATTTTTATAACTCCACCAAAAAAAAATAAATCATCTTTGATTTTTGAATTGAAATTTTCGACATTAAATAAAAAATGATAACGTATAGTATATATTATAAATTATAATCATATTTCCGATAAGGGACCAAAAATAAGAGATCACGTGATTTTCATTAAAAAAAAGTGCATCAGCGACACCTTTAGGGTAAGTGCCGCAAAATGGTTGAAAAGGCTC